GGGGGCAGCGCCCAAGGTTCCTTCGGCGAGATTGCCGATTTGATGGAGCGGGCGCCGGAATGTTTGTTGGCCCAGCTGTCGAGCGGGCCGGAAGGCTCAGCCGATTTGCTTATTTGCGGTGATAGTTCATTTGCTGTCGTCCGTCAAAAGTTTGTCGGCCCAATGATTGAGCCTGAGATCACGCGGATGGATTTGGCCCAATTCCTGAATCAGGACTCGATGGCATGGTGCGCCCGCATTAGTTCAAGAATGGAATGGGGCCGTGGCCTAAACCGGATTGCGCCGGCCATCGAGGAGGAGCTGCAGGAGATGGCCGAACACAACAAGAAAAATGGTAATCCAGACCGAAAGGTGGTCGTCATTGTTCCGGGGCGGAAATGATGTCTACGGGGATTACGGCTACGCAGGCTGTAAGTGGATCAGCCAAAAACGGTTTTTGAAGACAGAGGCGGACCGGAAGGTCGCCGCCGATTGGCCATATGCACAACTGACTCGCGTTCGCGAGGGTGTTGAGCGGCTCATCGAACTGCGAGCCCGGTCTGATGTGGCTGAATTGGTCGTTGTCGGGAATGCTCCGGCCGAGGACTACGACTTGTCGAAAGCCTACAACAGGCATCTCGGGGAGCACTACGGATACCCGCATGATTTCGAGAGGAGTTCCGTGTGTCGATCCAAGCACGATGACGTCCCAGGTCTTCTACCACGATCAATTCCAATGATCGAGTGCTACCAGACCCTCAAATGGGGCGTTGCTGTCTACTCCGGCATTGCTACCAGCGCATTTCGAACCTTCCAAGTGATGCAGTACAAAGAAGAGATTGAACCATTGACAATCCTGAACGCCGGTGAAGGCGAGGGAGACTTGCAGTTGATGGAGTTCATGTTCAGGTACCCTACCATCTCGCCTTATGCTTGCCGGAAGGCGAGCCGTGGATCAGATTGAACTGAGCCCGGCCGACATTGTGGACGCAGTTGACCAAGAGATAATGAATTGGCTGCTGCAAGAGGAAGAAGCAGACGTCGTGCGCCTGAAAGACACCAGCCACGTGCTGGCTCAGGAGATGAACCCCGATGACCTGTTGCGATTGCCCATCGATGCAGAAGAATTGGACGAAAGTGAGCATGATGAGAGGCATCGCATCATCATGAAAGAGCTGTACCCAGACTTGCCAACTCCGATGGGTGGCCAAGAGCTTGTGGAAGAGTTTCTATGGGAAGTCCCGGACGAAGGAGACACGCTCGACTTCGACGAGTGGGAAAGGGCCCTCGAGGAGAAAAAGAAGAATCCGGGTATATACAAGCTCATTCATCCCGCCAGTTGAGGTGCCGCTTCCGCCGCCCAAGACGGAGGAAGAAAAGGCCGACGATGAAGCCTTTGCTGATGTCCGCACCGAAAAGTCCTATGTGATCGTTGAACACCCAGATGAGGAGCAACCAGACTGGGACGATGATGATGCGGACTCGGCGGCGGCCTACAAGTCTGCCAAGGGTTCAGAGGACGATGAAGATGAGAAGCCCGAACCCATGGAGGTCGGCGAAAAGGCCCAAGGGGAGCAGAAGAAGGCGGATGAAGAAGCCGCTCCCGAGGGCCAAGGAGAAGTCGACCAACCCGTTGAGGAGTCCCAGGGCGAAGCCGCCGAAGCGACCCCAGACCAGGTCACTGACGAGAATCCAAAGTCAGGAGACGCCAAGCCAATGGAGGTCGACCTCACGGGAGATGATGATGCTGAGAAGAAGCCGAAGGCGAAGCCATCTGCCAAGAAGCCCCAAAAGCCAAGCGAGCCGGAAGGTTCGCCGAAACCCACACTCACAGAGCTTGAGAAGGCCGCTGCTGAGGCCAAGGCTCACTACGAGGAGTTGAGTTTCGTCGACGAAAAGACCGGTCGCATCGTTGTGCGGGGGGACAAGGAGGAGCGTGACGCTCGCTTCAAGGCAGAACGGCTCGCAATTCGGCCGAAGGCGCAGCCCAAGCAGGTGCGGAGGCCCAACCTGGAGCCGACAATGCGAGCGATCGACGCAGAGGATCCAAGAAAGGATCTGGAGTTCGCTCAGCTCCCGGGGCAGGAGGTTTGGCTCGGCCCGGAGCATCTGCGCCAGATTCCGCGCCGAGACGTGGAGTGGGGGCGGTTCAAGTGGATCTCCCAGGAGCTCACGTCCCACCTTCGTGGCCATAAGGAGCTGAAGAAGTTCGAGACTCCGGAATTTGAGGAGGACGGCAGTAAGCCCTGGAAGCCACTGATGGAATGCCTCCAGAAGCGCATTTACCAATGCCGAGAGTGGGAAGTTCTTCTGGTCATCAAGAATTCAGAGGACGAGAGATTTCGTAAGCAACGATTCTGGCTATGTGTTGATGCCAGTCTTAGTGGTGAGTTGTCGCCTGCTGTGTCTACGACTCTTGCTAGACACCACCATATCAATGATTTTTAGCTTTAACCATGCTGAGGCACTGGAGACTTTTATTTTACAAATTGCAAGAAAAATGAATTTGGCAAAACAAAAAATATGTTTCATAAAACAAAAAACATCAAACGCATACGATTTGTATGTAAACAATCACAAACAAAAACAAACCATCAAAGTAAAACAACATACTAGTTGAAAGCATGTCATATAAGAAAGGCAATCCCAATTAAGTAAAAATCCGTTCTGTTGAGCAGCACTCTTTAAAACAATTTTTTTTTATGACTGGAAGAACTTTGTCTGATGACTTTGTTTTGTTGTTCTCGTGCTTTCCCGCAGCATATTTAATAATTATGGCAGGGGGATGGGACATCAACAACAACAGCGACACGCCTATGCTTGAAACACATGCTAGGCACAGGCGTCTGATACAGCATTTTCTATTGATCAACCCATGACCAGCTTGCAAAGGAAGTTTGTTTTGAACAAGCCCATCATCTTTTTGTTCAACACAGGCGCACACAAACAAAATCAATATGTCCTAAGTTTGGTATTGTTTCTTGAATTTGTTTGTGTCTGCGTGTTATATTTATCTTAATATATGTTGTAATGATATTGCAAAACCACAAACACACCATGTTTTAAGTAGCAAAACGTGTCTTCGGGAAACCACATCTTGCAAGATTTTGTTGATAAATTCGACCAACAAATACACTAATTAAACACAACAAGAAAACATACATTTCCCTAGTTGCAATGGATACTTTGTCGCCACTTTTGCGAAATGAGCTTGATGCAGCGATTGTGAAGAACAAGTCTGGTGCATACAGTGTAACAGCTGCTGCTTTGAGATCCGTGTGGAATCAAATGAGGAGCATTGGATGCTTGAGTTCCAGAAGAAGATTCTCAGAGTACGTTTCATCAACGGCTATGCAGTTCTCACTGCCATCATCTGAAACTGATGGTGACGGTAATGCAAACCAACAGTTTCATGCAAATTTGCTCTTTGTTTTGCTTTTCGACGCTGGTTTCAAAATCACCTTGGAGCAGTGGGAGAAACATCTCGAGGAGAACATCAATGTGGAGGTTGCCTTGCAAGATCATCCCGCCTCTTCATGTGAGTTGGATAGTAGTTCGACATCATTGCGGAGTTTGTTTGGCAATGATGATTCTAGAAATGAACCAAAACGCATTCGCAGAGGACAACACCTTTTTGCTGTGGAAACGCCGTCACAGACAACAGAGTCCGTGTCAATGTCAACTGCTGAACGTGAAGGACACAACGCCCAAGTCCAGCACATGCTTGGCGTGATCAAGAGTAAAGACAAAACAATCAACAAATTGAAGTATGACAAGCGTATGCTACATCAAAAAGTACGTAGACTACAAGCGAAACTGGAGGAGCAAGCAAACCAGCAACGTAAACATCTGGAAGAGATTGATCAGAAGAGGTCGTTCGACATACACCGATGCAATGAAGATGGGAATAAGTGGTCATGGCTCACGCCGATGGGGGTGGTGAATGTTGCTGTCGTTTGGCACGCTTATCAGTAGATTTTTTGGGGTTACACTTTGCACATATGTTCTGTTTGTCAATCACAGATCATACGTTGTGTTCTTTGACTTAAATGGGTTCATCACACTTACATACGTTTTGTTTGTCAAACATATGTTTTTGTTAGTTTGCATGTTTTTTTGAACAAGGACTACTAGGGGTGGCCATCCTTCAGTGTATGTATGTATGTATGTATATATGTATGTATGTACGTATGTTCAAGCCAAACTCATTCATTCAGTCTTGCCGTGGTTTTAGATGTGAGTGCTTTACAACCTAACTGCCGTGGTGGTTTTGACACACACTTTGGAAAACGGAGGACGAAGGCCAGTCTAATCTAACAACAACTACTACTACTACTACCACCACCACTACCACTACCACTACCACTACTACTACTACTACTACTACTACTTCTACTACTACTACTACTACTACTCCTATTACTATTGCTACAACAACAACTACTACTACTACTACTACTAGTACTAATACCAGTACTACTACTACTACAGTTGCAACCACAACTACAACAACCATTGTTGCTGCTGCTTCTACTAGGGGTACATGTTAAATTTAACTCTTCAAGAGAGTGATTGAAATTGAGGTGCGACGGAATTGTTCGAATGTGTCGTGCCAAGACTTTGGCAGAGTTTTGGCCACTGACATTTCGGGTCCCACTGTGGCCCGCTCAGAGATGAAAGCAGGATCTGGTCTTATCGCTTCAGCTAGATTGTTCTACCAGAACATGCATGTCAAGATGAATACCTGGCAAAATGAGACATGGGGTTTGGTGCTTCACGCCTACCGCCAAGATTGCACGAATGGACACCGGAAGGTTTGCGCGCTAGAACTTCAGAGTGCATATGCCATCTCCAATAACAATGGCAGAGTTGATTCCTGGGATGATTTTCAACACATCAAACGGCTTTCCGACCTCGTCCAAATTGGAGATGAAAGTGGTGCCGGATGTATTGACTCTACTCTGAAATCATTCAAGTCGTTGGGAGCTCCTTCCTGGCGTGATGTTCAGTGCCTTGTCGGTTACCATTACCAAAATAGAGTCTTTGTGTTTTTTTAAAAATTATACTGATACTATTCCTAAGGGTCAAATGCCAAGCCAAACATAAAGGCAAAGGCTTCAACTATCAATGTAACTGTCAATCCTATGTCATGTCAATTGTCAAATTATGACTTTGTAGGACCTTTAGGACATAAAAGACTTGCAAAACGCAGGAACAACAAAATGTTTAGTTGGCACACAAGTTTACATCATCATCATCACAGCGGGTGAATGATGAGCTGGCAATAGTCTAGTTTTTTTTGTGTTCTGCTTTTGCTGAGGCGAGAGAACAAGAACGAGCACATTCTCCATGTCTATATGTGCACTACTGACCAAGGGAGCAATGAAGCGTGGGCAAGAAAAGCCATTGTCTATGAAACAAAGGATGATGAGTCAACATTGTTTTTCGATTGTGACTGCCTGGAGCATAGTATACACCTGGTTGTGATGTCATCTTTGCTGCTGGTAGATCAACATTTGGCTTCCTTTGGAAAGCCTTGGCGATATTGGACTAGCCTCGCGACTTTCGCATACACTTCAAGAGATGTTGGGCGAACGCTTTATCACAAATGGTCAGATCGCTTTGGAGCAATGAGCGCCAAACAAAGTGTCAAATGAAAATGTTTATTTCCAAAACCTCAGTCCCAAAGATGGGGACGGGTGCATGAATTAGAGCAAAGGATCATGAAAGCTGGCTTTTTGAACCTTGCTTTGTGCCTTTCAGAAATCCTGACGAGCAAATTTGTTGACTTAGCAGAAGTGGCTTCTTTGACTACTACCACAGGTGCTGAAGCAAGTTGGGCTGCTTTGACGGCTGTGAAGTCTTGTATTCGCATGTCCAAGGACAAGCAACTGAAGGAGCAAGCGAAGGTTGCAGACAATGCCAAAACTAAAGTGAACACACCAGATTCGCTGTCAGTGGAGCAAACCAAAGCCTACACCATTCAGATGTCCAAGTGGCGTGGCAAAACTCTAGTTGCAATTTCTGACAGGCTCTGGGGCAAGACTATTGAAACTATGCACCACACGAGGTGTCCTCTCATTCATCTTTCCAACATGCTGAAAGCATCTGTGACGGATGAAGACTTGTTGGAGAAGGGGACTGCATTGTCTCAATTAGTTCTTGGCAAGGCAGACTCTATCCACAAAGAATTCTATGAGATTTGTCGCAGCTTGTCAAGCAAGCAGCACTGCCGATTAACCTAGGGACTGTATATATCTATATCACGAACCTTCAATTTCATGATATGGGTTATCGCTTGGACATTGGTGTAATGTTTGTGTAGAGACGTGGGTGGAAGTGAGAGTGATGTGACATAATCACCAAAGGTAGTGTTACTTGTATGTTTGCTGATTTTAATTCTTAGCCTAGTTGTTGGTTTATTTGTTTAGGTGATGGCACCGGGCATTTTCCCAATGCTAAGGGATATAAGACATAATGTTCAGGGAAGTAGGATGTGGGATGTAGATGAGTTGGATCGTGTTTTTTGTTTTTTCGTGGTTTTATCAAGCTGATCCTATACCATGATTGTTTGTTATATAATTATGATTGTTTGTTCAATCCATTATGAATGTAATGATGACCCTATACCGAATGCACATAGCGTGTTCGCTTCTTGGTCTAAGGAAACAAGTGTCTTTGGCAGGAAATTCAATCTGATGTTGCTGCAGATGAACGACAATTTCTTATTACGTTGATGATCAAGATGCTTTTACACAATTCTGCGCAATTCGAAAGACGAGTGACTGGGGTGATGAGACAATATCCCTTCAAACTGCTGTGGTTGGTGTTTGAGGGTCCTGACAATCCTTGTGAGATTCGACAGAGAGTGGTGAAAGAAATCCTCGATTTGGACCTGAAAGACTTAGAAATCAATACCCGCAAGATTCGGCAAAAGTTTCAGCATGAGCTGCAGCTAACACTTGTGACGGGGCGCCTTTGTCATCAACTTTTTTGGGCTTTGAGAGGAGTTGGCTTTATGCTGAAAAGTGATGTGAGGGCCAATGAGGGCTTGAAGTATTTGACATTGCTGGATGACAGGGCGCCAAATTCCAGCATTGAACTGCGTAGTTCAAGATTGGGGCTTCGTTATTTGATGGGCGAACATGGCTATGGACGGGGAACTGCACGCTGCAAGTGGAGTCAGTTCAGACCAGTAGCAGAGAAGGTGCGCGCAGATTGTCTGAGATGCTGGCAGGATGTGGTTTCAGTACAATCCGACCCATTGCGTTGGACACCAAATGTAGCAGCTTCAAGTTGAAGCCACACCTCAATTTCTCGACAGTTCGATATACATGGGCTGCTTCCTACAACATGATTGCCCACCGGAATATCGATGAGGAGTCAAACCCTTTGTGCCCTGTTGTGTTTTGCGTATCCACTCGAGCTCCTGCAACTTCCAAATCTTC